ATTACTTTGCAGTGTTACCATGGAAACAAAGTACCAGTGCTTTAAAGTGAATTATTTTTTGCTGCATTAAGAATTAAATTGCCATTTAATAAAGAAACAAATTAAAGGACTCAGCTTGAATAGAACTTATCTGTTAGAACTGAAGTTGAATATCATATATTGATAAAATTTGAGGAATAAAACAACACTGTTGCTATGGTTACCAAGAAGGGAAAATGTTCGATTTTGTGAACTTTATATCAATATTAAACCCTGTGTGCCAACTTCTTGCATCCACTTAGAGATTGGATGATAGTCAAAATTAAAAGTCAAGTTAGCTGTTAATAAATATCAATCATAAAAGTTTTGGGAATCTACATTTAAGGGTACGTATCCAAGGAAAAAAAGAATTTTCAGGTTTTTAAGCATATATTTTCTGCTTATTTCCATAGCAACGCTCTATTTAAAGAATCTAATCTAAATTTTTTCAAATGGGAAAACTAGGAGCACACCAACTTCTTAAAAAATTGATCATTAGTTATGAGGAAATATGCTTTTTTTTAAATATAGGATCAGATTTAAACAGACAGAGTGTTACTTTGAAGGCTCTCTTTGGTATAAAAACCTTGGCAACCATTGCCAACCAAAATGATATATCATATTTTGTTCTTGGTATACGTTTCAAGGCTCTTTTTTCTATTATTTGGTTACATTTAATCCTATAAATGCTTTTTATTTTTACGTGTATGACTTTATAAAATTCAATGAATTTTTTTTACTTTTGAATGCTTTGTTACCATAGTAACGTATGTAATAGTTGATTTACCAAACATGTTTATCATGCATTTGAGAGATCTGACCTTCAAATTTTGGAAATACTCATTGCCAATTGTTTGCTTTGCCGCAAATGTTAACTATGGGGCTCTAAACATGTTACGTAAAAATACAATTTTTCAAACTTTAAGACATGTTGCCATGGTAACTATAAAACATAGCAAACAATTTTTGCCTGATTTTAGTTTAGGGTATCAATGACTTTTATCATAGAGAGTTTGGAAAAATTCAGAGACTATGCGTGCCACAGCTCGTATATAAAATTTCAAATCATTATAGAATGGCTCTTAAATTCTAATGTAAGATTCCATATTTATGTGCCTTTTGTTATTCTTTTTGATGATGATTATTTTAGCTAACTTCTACATTTGTAGACATTTCCGTTTGTGATTATACTTGTATATGTTGGAAAGAGGCATTCAAATTATTTGTGTAGATATTATATTTTCAAACTAAATAAGTAATGTGCTGTCATAGTTTTTATTATACAGAGAAATGTACGCGAGAGAGAGAGAGAAACAGAGAGACACAGAGAGAGAGAAAAATAACACCCTCGATTCTCATATATGTCAATCAGAGAAAAATTGTTACTTCTGAAATATTTTTCTAAGCAGTAGAGGAATCAATTGAGATTAACAGTTCCATTCTGTTATTATTAGCTTTTATTTTCCATCACTGTTCACACAGTTCACAGGAAGCTCCGTCAGCAGCGTGTTTGTCCTGGTGTCAATCAAAATCATTCGACACAGTGGAAGTGTGGAAATCGCGTGTTCACTGAACATACCGAAGGCAAAGAGTCACTTAGTATTTCCAAGAAGTTTTTATATTTTTCCTATCATTTCGATATCTGATTTTTGCATTCCTGCAGAAAAAATAAATAAATTATGGGAATATACTAAGGATTAAGTTTTAAATTGAATTTGAAATATACTCCCTGCTAATTTAAAATACAATTGTACTACTGTCGGCACAAGTTTATTCTTAAATACTATTGTTTAATGACTGTTTGATGTTGGTTTTAAGACTAATTTTCTTGTGTTACAATACACATTTTAATTAAAATATACTGAAAAATACTCACTAAGAATTTAATTTCGGGAGAGAAGGCACCGGGGAAGGGGTATCTTAATTATACTGAATGGCAAACATATATTTAAACATGTATGTTTAGGTACGGTGAGGGAAAGAATTTTCCTTCTGTAATGATAGACTATTTTAAACAGTTGGTCTTTTCCAAAAATTTAAAATCCCACTATCAATTTAATTAGCTCTAAAGATATTTAATTGACTGAATATTTGCAGTACTGTTTATAATTCTCAAAACTGTGTAAATTAAAATACGTGTTACTGTAGAAATATTTTTTTAATGTATTCTTGTCCTGTAAAAGACTTGAAGTGATTATTATGCATCTTCTTATAATTTCGTTCTTAAAATTACAACAATTTGATGCCGCGCGTGAAGCATTTGTACATTGCCCTTTTTTAAAGTAAATATTTTAGCATTGTTCTACATAAATGTAGGTACTAAATGTATTATAATTTCCAGAGAAATAAGAAGTAGCTGAGTTGTAAGAAATATACATGTAAATATCATAGATATTTTTTGCAATGAAATAATTATTCTTCAAACACGATATCTAAGTTATTTAATTAAAAAACGTAATCCTTACCATCAAAAAGATAAGTCCTCTAAATTTCACTTTGGAGTTCCGAATGCAGATGAAATACTTAATGATAAGTGAACGGTGCAGGAAAGTAATGGAACCAAGAGCGAACGGTGAACGTTTTGTTACCTAACGCTATACACGGTGAACGGTCAACGCACGCTGAACGAACGGTGAACGAACGGTGAGCGAACGGTGAGCGAACGGAAACATGGGAAAGTAGAACGTTTCAAGGAACTGCAAGCATATTTTGTTACGCAACACAAACACATTTGCTTTTCCATTTAATAAAATCAGGCTTATTGATTTACTACGTGCATTTACTTATACCAATATTACCTTAAGTTTTCCTCAATTTACATAATAATACGTAAAGTGTTATATATTAAGTAGTTATCAATTATATTTATGAAACTTAACAACTTTAAATTATCTGACGTACGTCTAATTACCCAAAAGTTAATTTAAACGCTAATGCCATTGAACATGTTGAAGTAAACATATTTATTAATTGATTTTACACTCTTTTGTAGAATACCATTGTTATTATATTTAAAGTTTTGGAAAACATATGCTGCTTACAACTCCCTAACAACGCTTGTGAAGAATTGTTGGAGACTATATCATACGCCTCAAAATGTCCATCTGATTTCGAAGAATATCAGGTGGCGGCTTTAAAGAAAAACTGCAGCAAATACAGCAACAGCTGTAGATCCTTCGAATACCACTGTGTTCTAAACGATGACACGACTAAAATCATTGAAGTTTGTGACGGTCTCGCTATATTCAATGTAAGTGTACGTAGGTACAGCATGGGCCTTTTGGTATGATTAAACTTGGATTGATAGATTTTTTTCTATTATGCTTACATTCACTAGGAAAACTTAGATGACACCCTTTGATAATATTTTTTTTGTATTTTCTCGGTAAATAAGCAAACTTTGAGCATATACAGCTTCGTTCAATTCTTATGATCATATGAATTTTTACACAGATCAAGGAAACGTTAAAGTGCCCCACTCATACATAACCACATGCTTTTGTTTGTTAGATTACATGCATAGCTATATGCTCTTGTTTTTTAATTACATGTATAACCATATGCTCTTGTTTGATAAATTATAAGAGTTAAATGGTTTCTCATTGTTTCTTGTAAAATAAGTTTGTTTGTTATCCATTTTCTCAAAGACCGGTCAAAGGGAGCCCAGTGGTAGAGCGTTCGCTTTGTTACTGGAAGGCCCGGGTTCGATTCTTGTTCGCGGCGTTCATACCTTTTACGTAAACATAGGTAGTTTGGTTTCCCCTAAGCGCTAGGCATTAGAAGTGAAAATTAGGGGTTTTTTTGGGTATTACCTTAAAACGTAGGTCCCGTGTCACGATAGCCTTTGCATATAAAAACCCTTACTTTTTCAATAGCCCTTAGTGCCGAGTATAGGTCTTAATTTGAAGTCCCTCATCTGCATACGAAACGTCTAGCTCTGTGTAAGTAAAAAATTTTCGATAGGGGCGTTAAACAATATACAATCAATCAATCCATTTTCTCAAAAAACCCTTTATTTTGCCTGTCTAGACTCATACACCTTTCAGATTTTCTTTTCATAAACATAGCTCTAAAGCGCAAAATCATACCAGTATATCTTAATTAGGAAATTTAAGAAAAATTGTACAGATTTTTATTTTATTTTTTAGTTTTATTTATTTATTATTTTTTTTGTAGATCGTTAACCATTTTGTTTTTTTTTTTTTTCTGTTTTTTTTTTTTCTTTACAGTTAAAAGTGTGCAGAATTTAACACTGGACTACGAAGTATTCGCAGAGTCTTCTTCAGTGATTGTACAACTTTTAAACATCCATGTCCAATTTCATACAACTCGACAGAATCTTACCGATGTAATCTTTATTATTACAATTATTTAATTAAATCCATTATGCATCAAACTTATACATTGTTATTTAGTTCGTGAATAATCAGGATCATTACCCATATGGGACAATACCTTTCGTTATCATGTTCATATGTACTGTATATATATTTGAGTTATACTTCATTTATGAACGCGTTAGATAAAACTTATCCTAATAAGTCTAGTTAATTTATTTCAGAGGATAGGGATACGATTTTGCTTTTAGCTGTCCTTATATATACGTTGGATATATTAAAATATTCTAATATATGTTTCAGATTCTGACTGCTTTAATATAATCAAATCGACAACAATGATAGCACCAATGAACACAACCGAAAATAGAAATGGTTCATCAACAACACATATTCCAAAGCAGGAAAATCAAATGTAAGTGCATTTGCAATAATTAGAATGATTGTTTGTGAGTTATCTTACACTCATTATACGATACATTGATTTCATACTTTATAGTAGCTATAAGTCTAAGAAACAGCCGTGTAAACGAAACAGCTGGGAATTTTTAATTGCGATTTTTACGATATTTTGAACTGCATTTGAATATGTATTGCAATTTTCTTTTTCAAAATCTCATATTTTGTTTAACTTATTAGATCGAGCGGAAAAGAAGCCGAGGAAGATTCTGTCACTGGTATATTACTTGGTATAGGCATTGCAGTGGTATTTTTGCTTGTCATTTGTTATGTTGTTTGGAGATGTAAACGTAAGCAAAAAGGTTAGTTATTCTTCTTAGCACATTAGACCCAGTTTGTAGAGAATTTAGTCCATAAATTAGGGAGCTGAATTATTTGAAAAAAATACCACTATTGTATACTCTTACTTTACTGGAGAGAAAAAACCCAATTACATGTACACAACATATTTTGTGAAACCTAGATATATTTGACACCTTAAAGATTCAGAATTTAGATACCTGTCACTTTTTGTCCCCCGCTTGAAAAGTGGGGGATATTAATTTAGGTCCGTCCGTCCGTCTTTCTGTCTGTCTGTAACGCTTTCGTTTCCACAAGATATCTCAAGAACCCTTTGAGCTTTTGCAATGAAATTTAGCATAGCAACTCCCTATGGACTAAAGAAGACGCCTATTGATCTTGAGGTCAAAAGGTCAAAGGTCAAGGTCATAAATTCGCAAATTCTGTCTGTTATAACACTTTCGTTTCCGCGCGATGTCTCAAGAACCCTTTGAGCTTTTGCAATGAAATTTTACATAACAACTACCTGTGGCTTAAGAAAGACCCCTATTGATTTTGAGGTCAAAAGGTCAAACTTCAAGGTTATAAATGTATACATTCTGTTTGTGTGTAACACTTTCGTTTTCGTGCGATATTTCAAGAGGATGTTGAGCTTTTGCAATGTAATTTATACCAAAAGTCCCTAGGACCTCTCTCACCCTCTCAAAGTGTCCCGCCCCGTTTGTTTTATTAGTATTGATTGTATTACATGTCGCTATTATTAGCCCAGGGGCATGATGGAGAGTTGTTGTAACTGATAAAACAGGTTATCGGCGGACTTTATATTCTTATTACATCTATTAGAACTGTTTAACAAAGGTTAAATTAGACACCATGCCTTGTGTTAAATTTTGACAATATATCGAACGTGAATATATACATGTATGTGACTTAATGTTTGTATATAATTTTCGCCAAGATAACGCGACTCCGTGGTCTAGTGCATCGTCGCAAGCCACGGGTTTTGTGTCCATTCTATTTCCAGAATGGACACAAAACCCGTGGCTTGCGACGATGGGTCTATTGGTATGTCTCTCGCTTCACATGTGAGAGGGCCAGGGTTCGCATCCCGGAAAATCCATTTTTTTCCGAAAAACTTTTTTTCTACTAAATGATAGTATTCAGCATGTGAAATGAAAAACTTATGAGGTCTGGCTTGTACAAACTCATACAATCATCATTACAGTGTGATAAATATTCCATATAAAAAGAATCTTCTACACACATAATAAAGAATAATCAATCAAACCTTTATATCCATATTGGCATATCTTATTTGCTTCAGTATACATTCAATAATTCTACAAATTCAGTCAGGGGATCCAAACCCCCCACCTCACCACCATCCCCTACGCATGGTTTACCTTTTCCCTAAGCAGGGGGACAAAAATTCACTGAATTAGCTTGTCTATTAATATTTCCTATGCATATTCACAAGAACGGGAGGTTCTTTTTCTGTATTGAGGTACTTTAAATTAAGTAAAATAGGTTCAATTCTGAATCATCCATATTTTCCGGCAAGATGGCAAGAGATTAACACCACCTCCTTTTTTACAGTCTTTTGGGTTTCCTTCCTGGAATCTAGCTATAGAGTCCGTGTAGTTTAACTACTGAAAAAATACATGCACATATGTGTGGCTAGTGAAGAACTCCCCGAGTGGTACGCGACACTGAGTTATTGAATCTTTCATGAGCATGCAGTCACGGTTAAGATCAGAAGCCGAAATAGAACATTAACATTAGTTGTTTATTTTTATGTTTCATTATTATTGATAACTAGACAACTCTTTTATAATTAACCAGATTTATCATGCAACTGAGATTAATAAACTCTGTTGGCAGGAGATAAAGGTGTATTGCTGCTCAAGTAAGGGATGTTATCGATTGAAAGATTGAAAAGTTAAAATCATTACGTTCATCATAGAGCTAGGATGTTAAATTAGGCAAGTAAGTAAGGGCCAGGTAGAGGCCTTTCTATGCAAATCAGCTAATGAAAATGCATAATTTGTGTAATTTTTAACACAGATAATGTTAAAGCTTATTTTCTTATGACGTCTCTTATAATGTGCACTGACTAGGGCATGTTGTGGGTATAAAGTTTGTATAAGAAAACAACTTTTTCTGTGCAATAAGTTTCAGCGCTTATGTGTTTTAATCAGTTCATTACAAAGAAACCTGTATACGTTACCCTTAACTACTTTCAAACTATGAACGTCTTTTTCAAGTAAAATATCCAAGTATGAACAGATGTGTTGAACTCTGTGGTATGTCAAACTCACTGGGAGATATCGTATCCAAATACGAATGGAAGTTACCATTTTTAGTTGACAATACGTCGTCGATATATATATATATATATATATATACATGTATATATACGTTGAGTTGAAAGCCACATTAAGTGTTTTCTATAACATTTTGCACAAATTCTCCTTCATATGAATACAAATAATCAAATGAAATATATAAAGAAAAGGAACAGTATTCAATCGCAGAAGACCATAAAATAATACTAAATAGTACCAGAGCAAATGCCGACCTGGAAAACATCAGAGGTTAGGTCAGGTACCAAGGAAAAGTGAGTATTCAATGCCGACCGATCATACCTACCTTGTGCTCTTTTGAAGGATCGGGCAATAACGGAAAAATCCGTTGTTCATTCCAATGAGTAACTAATTGCACAATAATAAATATGACAAAATAGTCAGTCGGATCAGCATTTAACTCAATAATAAAATTGTCAATTTCTAGATATGGAGATAACGAACAGTATTCCAATTCAAAGTCCATAAAACAATATAAAACAGGAACAGAGCAAACACGGACCTCCAAAAAATCAACTTGGGATGGTCGATTCAATGACTTCGTCGGCAAATAAGATTTATCATTTATTTTGCAATTGTTTGAAAATGACCAAGAACAAAGTTAATACATTAACGAGGTCATTTTTATTGAAAGCTAAAGTAGTTGTCAATTATATCAAAAAGCTTGGAGTTTAATATATCGTGGGGAACTATTGTAAATTAGTTGAAAAGTTTTATGTTATAATGTTACAGTTGTAAATTTGGTATAAATCTATTTTAAATTTTCCAAACTTCCTTCAAATTTTCAAGTAACAACATTTAATCAAGACCGAATGAATCTGATATCCAAAAATGTTTTAGTACTTCATTGATAAATAAGAGAAATTAATTGTAAAAAAGAAAAATATGTTTATTTGGAAACTTAATGGTCTTCCTTTGGTGCTTGTACATTTTTTATTGTTTTTGTTAGAGATAAAAAAAAATTCTTTACTAAAAAATCTAATATCATTAATTTAAAAAAATAAAATTCCAAAAAAAAAGATGTTAAAGTGCCTCTTTCGCGTTCCTGGTTCTAAAGCGTATCCTCTCTTTTTGACATTTTTAATCATGGTAACAGTGCTGGTGTACAGAAACTGTGTTCTTTATTTATAGGTTTGAAATGAGAATCATAGAAAAAGGGCATCATATGTGAATCATATGAAGCAAATCATATGATTTACATATGATCCACATATGTAAATCATATGAAAATAACTACATATGATTTGCATATGAATGATTTAAGTGTGTTTCAAGCCATTTACATATGAGAATCATAAGAAAAGGACATTATATGTAAATCATATAAAACACTTAAGTGTGTTTCAAGCCATTTACATATGAGAATCATATGAAAGGGGCATCATATGTAAATCATATGAAACAGTTATGTGTGTTCTCTTTCAAAATTTTTTTTAACTTTTTGGTACACATTTAAAAATAAGATATTTCTGCTTTAGATGAAAATTCATTACATTACAATGATCTATCTTCATTGGTTAAATATTTTAAAATATCTTGTGATAATGCTTACAAAACTTTTTTGATAAAATTATTTTCATCAGGAGAAATAACTTATTTTTCACAATGTACATTCTAACAAGAAAGTATACGAACAAGTCAGTAGAATTTGTCGATACATGTATTTAACATATTCTAAAATGAGTGCAAATTATAAGATTTCAGCAAAATGATTAAGTAGTTTAACATGTATACATGTACAAATGAATAAAATTATTTGGTCATGTACTTGTATAAAAATACCATATGACATGAAAGTGTCTGCAGAAAAATTGAAATATCGGCAATAACATTTGTCATGTATTGTCTATTGTAAATTTATGAACAATCAGGTTATTTGATATTCTAGCATACAAATAAGAATGTGAAATCTTTACAGGTCAAATTCAGACAAGATTGTGTACATCCTCTACATTTCATTATTATTCCATATATTTCCTTGTTCTTTTTCCTTCTGTATCTTTTCAATATTTTCAGTTGTCCTCCCTCTGATCTGACCGTTTTGAAAATCTCTTTGAACTGTACCAAAAATGCAAATCCACCAGTTCTCCCCTTCCTGAACAATTTCTTTGTGGCACAGAATGGTCTCTACAAAAATTCCAAAAATAAAAATAAAAAAATTCTTAAATTACAAAATCAATTCTACAAGTTAGATTCAAGTAACTTATCATCAGCAAACAAATGTATTCCCAATTCACCGACACAGATATAATACGAGATAAAACTAATGTTATATATGTTATACTAGGTGGTTTGTGAAATCCTATGATGTAATTTGCAAGACACTGTTGGAAGATATGCTTCATAATAAAATTATAAAAAACTTTTTTTTTTTATTTTGCCAATTGAATTGAATTTTGCAAGACAATTACACTATTTGAAGATATGCTTCATATTAAAATCATAAAAAGCATTTTTTTTCTCAATTAAATTTGGAATGTTCAAATAGTATTATTGCCAAAAATTAAGAAGATTCTGACACAAATATATTACTTTTGGACAAAAAAAAAATTACAGACAAAGTAATATAGCAGAAAAACAGATTTTGTGATTCAAGGATATCCCAAACTTTGTTGGGAAAAATATAACAAAGTCTGTTAAACAGTGTGTAGTTACCTTAA